TGTTTAATAGTAGAGATTGGACTAGGTTTGAATGGATAGGATTTGGATAGACAGAAGATGAGAGAAGAAGGAACATCACGAAATGATAATGTTAAGTAAATGGGAGAATAAAATTCATTTTGCAGACACGTCACCCACACAGTCTTTTATGGTATCCCTTTTCTGTGGACAAAAGTACTTTCCTGAGGAACATTCTATTGGGGAGGGGTTCCCCTCCCTGTCTGTTCCCCTGGGTTTGACTGTTAATTTTTTTTTCAGTCTGTACAAAGCTAATAAACAGTGGAACAAGGAATAAAAGTTAAATGAGCATAATGATACTTGTGGTGCCGAAACCATAGCGTTGTTATGAAGACCAAATGAGATCATTTGTGCAACAGCTCTTAGCAAAGTTTTCAGATTTCACCTTTTTGTTACCACATGGCACATTGGAATAGAAGGTGAAAATTCAATCTAGCATCCAGAAATTTGACCTAAATGACACCGGATCCTGACATGTAGAAATATTAGGATAATAGACACAATTTTTCATTATTGCTTAGGATTTCCTACTGTGTACACAGGTTCAGAGTGATTAAAAAAATAAAATTTTACGAAAGCACATGTAATCCAAGCATTGTGTCTGTGGGTCAAATAAAGTCTTCATTTTCCAGGTAGAGCAAGTTATATCCAAAATCTTGAAGGCTAGGAAGCATTAACTAGAAGACAGAGCCAGCATATTGATAACTATTTTGTTAAAAATTTAACTCTTAGTGAAAGAGGAACTTTGGGAGAGCCATGGAGCTTTTAGGCTATCTCTCTCCTTTATTGTGTTAAACTCATATTTTTTTTCTCTGTTAATATGGATCTAAACATCTAAATCAACACTAGCTTTTATATATGTCCAAGGATAGGTGGGTTTCAAGGGTCATGGCCCTTGCCCTCTAGTTTGCTATTTGTGATTTTTAATCTGAAAGAGGTCCCAGGTTAGCATGATTTTTCTAGAGGCAGGAACTCAAGGAGGTGCCTGGTAATAATAAGACTGAAGCTAGTTCTGCTCTGGAAAGTAAGAGAAGGTGAAGAAACAGGAGGAAATAGCAGTGGGGACCACTTGAATGACTGAGTATTATAATCACCAGAAAATAATATGGATGAACCTATAGGGCTTAAAAATGAGAATGAATTTCTTTGGGAGCAGAATGAGACAATACTCTTGAGAGTGAAGAACTGGGAAACTGATTTGAGAAATGTAGCTAGGAACTTCCACTAGTAGTACACTGTTGTTGACTGATTAATATGTGGTTGGTTGCTAACTTTTACTGGTCAGAAAAGTATGGTTAATGGTTAGGATAGTGACATCTTGTTTGAAAGAGGGGTTATTTTTTTCTTTGGTGTTATTGTCTTCCTAAGAATTCTTAGACCTGTGACATACAGAATGCTTTCAAGCCTGGATCGGATTTCCTAGACGGATTGGAAGATGTGGTCTTGAGGACTTGTGAATATATGGCATTTAAAACTAAGATTGTAAATCCCTCATCTCCTGGTGATAGTTATATTTTGTTCATAGAAAACTTTCAATCATAGTACGGATGTTTATTTTATCTTAGGCCAAGTTTGAGAAATTTTAGTTTCACAAGAAGGGAAATAAGTGGTTGCTTATTAAGTAATTTTGTTCAACCCACTAAACTACAAATTTTACTAACCCAAATCTTCATGAAGACATTATTATTGATTCATTTAGGAAACTAATTTGTATAACCTTCTTATCTTAAAATCATTCCTCTCCCTTAGCTGGGCTGTTAACTTCTTTCATTCCAGAATACTTAACTTGTTTCAAAAGGTCACTAAGGAGGGCAGCTAGGTGGCACAGTGGGTAGAGCACAGCTCCTGGAGTCAGGAGGATCTGAGTTCAAATGTGACCTTAGACACTTGATCCCTACTAGTTACATGACGCTGGGCAAGCCACTTAGCCCCGATTGCCTTGCAAAAAAAAATAAAGGAAAATGGGGAGAAAGGATGGAGAACAGAAGTGTCACAAGATTAACAATGGACCAAAGGTCACTAAGGGAAGATTATTTTACAAACTTCCTCAGTAGCCCATTCTAGCATATAACAAACTCCACTAGGGAATTTTTATATTTCCCTTAGGAAAAAATTATAAATAACTCTTTTTTTTGTGTGTGTTGATCTAGTTTTTACTCATTTTCTGGAAGAACTTTTCCAGGGAGTGAATATGTATTCATTTAGCACACATTTCTTTTTTCCTATAGGGTTACAAAGAAATGTAATTACATTCCCCTCAACATTTACTAAGTGACTTCTATATGTAAAGCTCTGGTCTAGGGCTGGAAATACAAAAAAAAGTAAAATAGTCTCTGCCCTCAGGAGCATTACATTTTAATTGGTTAAGACTAGATAAGCACATATCTATACAAGGCTAAAGATAATTAGTTCTCATGTGGAGGCACAAACAATAAGAACTATGAAGATGCAGAGGGAGAAATGATTTGCCACCTTTAGTAGACTGGGAGGTCTTAGTGGAAGTGGAACTTGAGTTCAGCCTTGGCCATTGGTGGCCTTTGGATAGGCAGATGTAAGGGGCAATGTGAGCAAAGACATGGTGGTGGGAATGCACAACAGTGTATTTGGGTGGGGAAGGAGCAACAGTGAGTAAGCCAGTTTGACTGGAGCAAAGAAAGGATTTGTGTTGTATAATAACATGGACTGACATTAGGCATATAAATTAGACTTAGATAATGGAGGACTTTCGATACTAGACTAAAGATTTAAATTTTATCCTTCAGGTAAGGAGAAAATTTTAAAAATTTCAGTGTAGAGGAATAAAATGATTTAAAAGTATTTTAAAGTATTTTTGGAAAATAAGACTTGGCAGATGTATAGAAAGGGTGGAGGTGAGAGATCAGACTAGAGACTGAAAAAGGAAGGGAAAAGAGTGGAAAGGGGAAAAGAATAAGCATTTATTAAGCACCAGCTATGTGCCAGGGACTGTGCTAAACAGTTTACATGCAACAACCATGTGAGGTATCTCCATTTTACAGTTGAGGAAACTAAGGCTGACAGAAGTAAAGTGATATGCCTGGAGTTGTACAGTTATTAAAATGTCTGAGGCTGAATTTGAGGTCAGTTCTTTCTGACTCCAGGTCCAGTACTCTATCTACTGTGCCACTAAATGGAAAGCCCGTAAGGATTTATGCAAAAGTGGAGTGGAGAGGATTGACAAATAATGGCCATGACAGACGTTATAAAAGAAAACTTCATAAGGAGAAAGTGGGAGCTGGTCTCTGGAATGCTAAGTAGTTTACCCTAATTTATTCTGCCTGCTTATGATATGCCATCTAGGAGAAAGTCCTGATACTGGACTCTCTTACCTCATCCAGTAACTCATTTCTTGTAAAATTATCACCTCTGACATTTCTGACTTCAAAAACTGGAAAGATTCCTTATTTTCTTCGGGGCGGGAGGTGTCTGCTTGAAGAGAGCTCTGTTTGCATAGTTCCTGGGGTCAGGGCTCATCTGACATTGCCTGAGCTAGTAAACCTGAGCTAATGACCACTTGCTTGTTGGCTTATGGAATACTTTGCTCTACATTCTTCAAATGGGGGGTTGGGAACAGAGAAAGAGGAGTATAAGGAGTAAGAAAACAGGAAAAACCGGTTGACATGTGTTCTCATTTATTTTCTCATTTCATTGAGAGTGTTGTGTTCTCCTGTAAAGATTGACTTGGTATATTTAAAATCTGGCTGACCATATGTAAGAAACCACTCATTTCTTTAAGAGGAAAATGTCTCTTTGATGATTGTATTTCTTTTGTCAGAGTAATAGATGAGTATTTGATGCTGGCATCTCTGTCCTAGGATGGGGCAGTGTCATTCCGTAGCTCTTGTCTTCTGTGTAGCGTCTCAGACAGTGAAGTGGGCCTTAATTATAATGCAACTTTATTTGCTGCTTGTAAATGATATAATAAATAATAATAATAAACATGTCTATTGGTACTTCTTCATTTCATTGGTACTTATTTATTTCATGTCCGTTAGTAGGTGTCTCATAGTTCAATGATCTGTGGGTTATTGGGAAGACAAAAACCTCTTTAAACATTATTTCTAGCTCTATATCTCTATAATTCTTAGTAATAGTGATTTAAAATCTACAATGTGCCTTACGTGCATTACCTCATTTGAACCTTGTAACAACTGTATAAGGTGTAGGTATTATTCTAAGGATGCTGAGACTCAGGGAAGTTAAGGATTACCCATGCTTACTCGGCTAGTTGGTGTTAGAGTCAGGGTTTGAACTCAGTTCCTCCCAACTCCCTTTGAGTATTGAGCTCTATCCACTTGTACCATGCCAGTTGGGATCATTCCTCCTAAAATATATTTTATCCCTAGTTAAAGGTATTTAGCCTGTAAATGGAAATGTGACTTAATGCAGAAACCTTTGAGAGAGGGTTCTACACTAAGGCATAAATGAAGTTGGGTTAGGGAATGCCAGAAGCCTCTGGGTGCCTAATGAGGGGAAAAGGAGAAAGAAAAAAGGAGGAACTGGAAGAATAAAGATAAACTTGGCTGGGTGTATAGTTTTTCAAGGTTTGGCCTTGACAATGATTGATTGAGTGCTGTTGGTCATGATTTTGGGAGCTCTACAAGGACTAAAGAATATTCCAGATCAGCAGAGAAAGATGAATACTGTTCAATAGAATTATGTTTGGTGTCATTTATTGAATTTTCATTCTTTGAAATTTGGATATGCAAGGTAACTTTTGATCAAAATATTGAGATAATTAGAGCACCCCATTCCCTCACCAAGTTGGATAATAATTTTGTATATAGTATGAGGTGAGCTGATGCTGCAACAGCTATTTCAAGTTTGTTTATTGAGTGTATTTGCCTTGTGCCATGGAAAAGGGCTGTCTGAATCTTTTCTGACATGGATATCCTGGAAATATCTCCAAGTCCTCCTGAAATTGGGAGGACAGTCAAACTTAAAAGATGCTATTATATCTACAGGTCAGTCTTATGAAATTCGACTTCTGGAGAATCGGAAGCTGGGAGATTTTCAGGATCTCAACACAAAATATGTGAAGGTAAGTAGAATTGGAATCCCTTCTACTTCCTGGTACCTGGTATCCTGGAAACCATGGTGTTCAGTCTGAGGCTCTGAAAGCCTAGATTTGGGTTGAGCATGTCATAGGAGAGACTGGGAAGCTTAATCCTGTAGACCTTTGCCTTTTTTTTTTCTTCAGATCAACAGCCAACAGTCAGTCAAAAGATAGTTCTTGAGAGACTAGAGAATAGAAGGCACACTCTTATGCTGGGTCCTGAGAGGAAATACAAAAATTTAAGCAACAATCTTTTGCCTTTAAGGAGGAGCTAGCAGGGAAGATAAGACTGACAGAAGAAAACATGACTTAACAATACAAAGAACTGAATAATAAATGTATAATGAGTGATGCAGTAGTGCTATAGGAGGTGAAAGCGGTAGAAATCACTCTAGGTTAGAGTGATGAGAGAAAGCTTGACGGAGAAGGTAAGATGTAAAATAGACCTTAAAGGATTGTTAGCATTTGGATAGAAAGTGGTCGTGAAGAGGAGGGACATTCCTAGCAGGGGCAATAGATGAATCCTCTTGGTGATCCTGACACAAATTTCCCTTTGGGGACTTCTTTCATCATAGAGTATCATCCGTGTGGTTTTCCATGATCGGCGACTCCAGTACACAGAGCATCAGCAGCTGGAGGGCTGGCGATGGAGCCGACCTGGGGATCGAATCCTGGATATTGGTGGGTCTTTCCTGCTTGGCATTTTGCCCAAATGCATAGCTTGAAGTTTAAACTGTGTTAGACTCCTTCCCAGTGGTATATACCTGATCATTTGATGCCCACATCTATGGACACACATCAGTCAAATGAACATATATTTAATTAAATAATAGCCTTGTGTAAGGAACTGTTCACACATAGATGAATATTATATAGACTGTGCCCTCAAAGATTTCACAGTCTATTTGGAAATATAACCAAATATGATTAGGGTCCAATGAGTGATGCAGATACTGTCATAGACGTTCAGAAAAGGAAAAATGACTGCAGGTTGGTGTGATCCAGGAAGATATCACTGAAGAGGTGAGATCTGAATGGTACTTTAAAGGATGGGTAAAGTTTTGATAGGGGAGCGTTACTGGGTAGTTGGGGTGGGGATGGGAGGCAGCATGAGGAGGTTCAGGGTCATATGATTGATGTCTTGCCATGACTTCCCTGAATATTTGAGTGGGTTTGCTTGGGCTATTTAAAAGAGTTTTTCTTTTTATGTAGATATCCCTCTCTCTGTTGGCATCTTGGACCCCAGGGCCAGCCCAACACAATTAAATGCAGTTGAATTTCTGTGGGATCCCTCAAAAAGAGCTTCAGCCTTCATTCAGGTAATAGTCATACTGTGTTTTTCTCGCTGTATGGCTAATAACACACTCAAGTATTGACATTGTTGCTGGTCCTCAAAACAAACCCCACATTTTCCTCCAGTATTTTCTAAAATCAGTCATTCAATCAGTAGTAATTGAGTACCTAAAGTATACTCAGCATTGTGCAGAGTACTGTGGGGTACACAAATAAAATGTGATTTCTGCCCTCTAGGAGTTTGTAGTTAGTAAGTAAGATAAGCAGGATTAAATCACATGCAGCAGTTATATAATAATTGAGTGTTAACCAATGTTGTACTGACTCTTGGTGCAATAGAAGTTCAGAGAAGGGAGAATTCAGTTTAGGGTTCAGTTCTTGGGTGAGACAGGAAGGAACCAGGATGGGACCTGAACTGGACTGTATTTATTGAGAATCTAGGACCCATAAGTGGAAAATGTAGGGACGTGGGTAGGAGGGAGGGGAATTTCATTTGGGGCAAGAGTGTGAGCAAAAATGCCCAGGAATGGAAATAAGCAAGATGTGTATATGTTTGGAGGGAGCAGGATGAGGATGGTTCTGAGAGGGAGGGACACAGCCAGTGAGGAGACTAACTAACTGGAGCAGAAGGATATGTGTTGGGAAGTAGTAAGAGATAAAATTGGATTGGTAAGGGATGAAACCAGGTGAGGAAGAGTCTAGAATTTCAGCCAGAGAAGATTGGATTTGACAGGCAATAAAGAGACATTATAGGTTATTCTTTTTGAATGACATAATCAAATTTGCTTTTAGACTATGGTCCATTCATGTTGCTGTATGCTTATTGCTTTTCTTCCAGGTACATTGCATCAGCACAGAATTCACACCCAGGAAACACGGGGGAGAAAAAGGAGTTCCTTTTCGAGTGCAGATTGATACCTTTAAACAGAATGAGAATGGGGAGTACACAGAACATTTGCATTCAGCCAGTTGCCAGATCAAAGTGTTCAAGGTGGATTACTATGTCTCTTTTTCTTTCCTCTTCTGTGGTTAAGTCTGTAGGACTGTTCATCCCACTCATGTTTTACTATTGGTATGGATATGGTGATGGTTTTGGTGACTGGAAGGAGGGGAGTCCTTTGGTGAGGGCAGGGTCCAATCACTCTGGAATAGTTGGATTTTTTTGATAACTTTCAGAAGCAGAAACCTAGCCAGGTATAGTGACTCATGCTAGTAATCTTAACTGCCAGGGAGGTTTGGCAGATCTTGCTCTGGAATTATGAGCTGCAAAGGTCTATGCTGATTGGGTGTCTGCAAAAAGTTCAGTATCAATGTGGTTGAACCCCTAGGAATGAGGGGCCATCATGTTGCCAAAGGGGAGGGTGAACAGGCCATGTTGGAAATAGCTCCCATGCCACTTAGATGTGGGGTCAGGCTGTGGACTTCCACCCTGGGAAAAATGGAGAAATGTGGTCTTTAAAAAAAAGAAGCAAAGGCCAAACGTCTTGTTTTCATCCAGAAATCTGACTTATCTTGGCAAGAATTAAGGAATCTTCCAGTTACAATTTTTCTTCCCAAATACTAAAGAAGGCACTGTATAGTCCGAGACTTCTAGTCTCACTGACAGATTTAAAATAGGCCCACTTCGGTTTATTTTCAGTTTGTGGAGTATGTGAAATTGTGCCAGGTCTGTTTGTTTTTGTTTTTGAATTAGGTGATCTCTAAAAATGAAAATTGGTTGTGGAAATGGTGGATTTATAGGCTGGACTGAAAAAAGACTTGAGGCATGCAAGATGAATGTATCTGACACTCTTCTTTTCCCAGCTAGCCTTTGGGTAAAGAAATCTCTTTTCCCTTTTGTTCTTTTGCATACGTCACTTCTTTTTCTGGCCACATACTTCCTAAGAGGAAGTACAAAATCTATATGTTCACTATGGTGCTCAAAAAAGGTAAGGTCTTTTGGAAAAGTGAATCATTTGTAAGAGTTGTTCAGGAGGGACAGCTAGGTGGCACAGTGGATAGAATACTGGACCTGGAGTCAGGAGGACCTAAGTTCAAATTTGACCTCAGACACTTACTAGCTGTGTGACCCTGGGCAAGTCACTTAACCGCATTGCCTCAAAAAAAAAAAATTTGAGAGTTGTTCAGGACATTGATTATATTTGTCTCAGGTTGCTTCCTCCTGAGTTACTGAAGTGTGAGCTTCATGTCCTAGGTAAAGAGGAAGAGGGGTTAGCCCTGGCTAGCAGTAAGTGCCTTGGAGATATTGAACTGAATTATTTTCTTGGTCCTACTCTCCCAAACTCATGCAGATCTGGGAGCAGCTTAGAAGAGTTAAATATCACTATATTTTGAGATTCAAGAGTTAATCCTTTTGTGTCAGGCTTATTAGACTATTGGATCAATTTTTGTCTCATTAATATTATAAAAGGATACAGACTGAACCTGTGATTTCACTGGTATAGGGACCTCTCAGATGAGGAAATGCCTTCTACCAACAAAGGTTGTCAACTTCTTTGTAACTTATAGTCTTAGAGAATTTCCTGGAACAGCAGGAAGGTAAATGACTTGCTCAGGGTCACACAGCTAGTATGTTTCAGAGGTAATAATAATAGGCAGCATTTAGATAATTCTTTAAGGTTTGTAAAGCACTTTACAAATAGTATCTAATTTTACCCTTACAAGAATCTTGGGAGGTAATTATTGTTTTTATCCTCATTTTACAAATGAAGAAACTGAAGCAAAAAGTGGTTAAGTGACTTGTCACACAGCTAGTGTCTGAGGCTGGATTTGAACTTGGGTTTTCCTTACTCCATCTTTAGTACTCTATCACCTAGTTGCCTCAGTCCTGGGCCTTCCTTGTTCTGAGGCTCACACTCTTATCCACGTTACTAAGTGGAGGGATAAGGAAAAAGGTGAGGGGAAATCTCCTATAGAAAAAAAACCAACAAAAATAATGGATGATTTAAGTATATATCCTTGTCTCCCAATGAGATTATAAACCTCTTGAGAGCAAGGACTATGCTCTACATTCCTGGCATTTTGCCCCACAGTGTCTTTACTCAGTAGGATATAGTAAATGTTTACTGTTGATGATAAGACCTAGAAGAAAGGAAAGAAAAGGATTTAGAGTTAAGAAAACTATAGGGGGCTTTGAACAATCTGGAATTTTTTAAGGGATGTTAGAAGGAAGGTCTCAACTAGATGTCTGTCTGTTTACCAGATAGAAATAGAGTAAACAGGTTTAAATTACAGTGAGATATTTTGATTGATCCTAAGGACACACTTTCCTGTGGTTAAGATAGTAAAAAATTGAAAGAGGCTGTCAAGGGAGGTGGCCCATTTTCCATTCCTGTAATACTTTACAATTACTGGTTCTCTTATTCTGTGATAGCAATAGTTTATTAAGAAAGCTTCTAAACAGTGTTTCCCAGCCCTTTTTCATCTATAAACTTGCCAGTACAAACCAGGGTAAGTATCTTAGTAAGTATCTTAGGAATTAGGTCTTGAGGGATTGAGTCCAGTCATTCAATTCTCTAGATGTCAAACTACATCCATCTCTAACCCTGGTTACCTTATATGTCTACATAAGCACATATACATGTCAGCTCTTTTCCTCTTCTTTTTCCGTCACAATCACTATAGACTCTATCCTTTATCTTTGGGTTAGAAAATGGCAAAGGAGAGTGAGGAAAGAAGGTCAGGAAGTCAAGATGAGCAAAGGCATGTTCATGAAACCACCATGCACTAATAGTTAAATGATTCTAAGAACCATGCTGTCTTAGTACCTTAGAACCTCCTCAGTTTACAAAAGGGGAACAAGGTCTAGAAAGAGTAAATGATCTGCCTCTAACCACAAAGATGTCTAGTAATGGAGCTAGAACTAGAACCCAAGTCTTTGGCTCCTAGTCAAGTGCTGTTTTGGAATTAGACAGGATCTTAAAATTTCCAAAACTGGTTTCACAAAATGCCCAAGCTGATATTTTCACTTGATCTACCAGTTGTTCTTCACATAAAGAAAGCAGTTTAAATAAGTGTGGAATAAGGAACAAGAAAGATTGAGCAAAATTGTCAGTTATTCTCTTTGCAACTCTTGTATCTGGCCATTGCCAAAGAAAATGGTGAGTCTGTAAGGGAAACTCTTCTGAGGGTGGTTAGAAAGAACAACAGTTCCCAGCTTTTTAGGAGGCCAGCCCTTGTAGGAATTATTCAAGACTAGGTAGTTGATGTGCTGGAAAAGTTTGTATCTGTGGGTTTAGCACATATTGTGACTCGTGGGATGGGCAGGGGCTCCTCCCTTTGCACTACAGAGAGTAACTAAGGACAGCAGGGAAATGGGGGCAGGCCAGGAAAGGATCCCAGGTGTCTAGGAGGTCATCTGTCTAAGCATCTGAGCCTGTGTTCAGATTGGGTTTTCACCTTGAGAGTCCTCTTCCTTTCAAATGCACGTTGGCTTATCCAGGAGGATTGTCTGTCCTGATAGGACTAGGCTTATCTATTGCAACTGAAACTGGTTCTAATATTCTATTCATTTGGCATCTAAGTTCTTTTCCCTTTTACTTTTGCTAACCCTAAGATTGGGCACACAGTGAAGGTCTGTAAGGACTCTGAGGCTGGTCTCCTTCTGCATCAGTGTGAGGTTAGCAATGAAACCAAATTTATCTATGTCTTTTTATCATTAGATAGGTTATCATTAGAAGTATTATAGGCTCATCTGCAATGAACAATGGTGCTTCTCCAAAGGCACAGAGGGATCCCAGGGATTTAGGCAAAATTTGTCATCTAGAGCAGAAGTTCTGGCTTGAATTCCCAATAATGAAACTCCTTTCAGCTTGTCTCCTTACCTACCTCCATAACATTAAGCTGGGAGAAAATTGAATTCAAAGTGAATTATCTGAGGATTGCTTCATTTATTCACTTATTCACTCATTCAACATGTTGACCATGAATTCTGTGTTGGGTGTATGGGAATAGAGAGAAGTAGAAGACATGGTTCTAACCCACAAAGAACTTAGAATCTATTTTGGAGAGAGACAAGCAGAAATAAACAAATAAGAACTCCAGTAATACTGCAAGTGAGCAGTATGGGTGATTGTCATAAGTCAGTGAATGATTTCAGTACCAACTGAATAGTATCTATGATACATGTTAGTGGGAGTACAAAAGAGAATTTCTTCAAAAATATGCCTATTCCTAAAGTTTTTTGGCAGGGGATTTTTTTTTTTTGGTTGCCAATTATAGCCTTGCAAACCAAGAATAAAAACTGACCAATAGTCACCTGTACACTTCAATCAGACTTCACTCTCCAAGGGGAATTAAATAACAATGTTGGTGGTTATAATTATTCTTCCAAAGGTGACCCTTTGTTGAGTTGCTTTCCAAGTCTCTCTCTAATTGGCCATGTTAGGATCTTCTGAATCCCCACTTGAAGTGGGCAATGCTTGTGAACAGGGGAGATTGGGAAAAGCGTTGTTGGTGGATATCAAGGAGTCTGAATTTCAGTTAGCCACACTTTTGCTTGTCTTGGCTAAACAAACACCTGTTACTCTATATTTGCAGCCAAAGGGAGCAGATCGGAAACAGAAGACAGATAGGGAGAAAATGGAGAAGAGAACTGCACAGGAGAAGGAGAAGTACCAGCCATCTTATGAAACTACAATCCTCACAGAGGTTAGGAAACCATCAATCCTTCCTGAATGCCTTTAGGACATAACTGTACAGTATTGATTGGTTTTAGATTCTTGTGAAAATGCCCTTTTGGCATTAGGGCAAATATGAAATAAACCAACAAAAAAACCACATTAAGGTTAAATAGTGGCTTGTTCTCCATGGGGTCTTAAACACAAATAACCTAAGAGGAAGGTGATTTCCCAATGTTTGGTGACTAGGATTCACTTTGCATCTTAATCCTCCCTGCCACTCCCTAGAATCAGGAATATTTTTTAACCTCTAGCTCTTACTTTCATTAATCACAGTCATCCATTATTCTCTTCCTTTGGATTTTCTCTGTTCTATCGCTAACATGCACCCTAGTCTCCAGTCCTGGTCAATTAACAGACATTTCTTGAGTAATTACCGTGTGCCTATCACTGTGTTAAATATTGTAGAGGTTACAAAAGAAACATGAGAGACCCTACCCACAGGATCCCCTCCCAACTTTTGGTTGGAAGAAATGAAACTACTAGCCAACTACAAGAATATGAAATGCTGATGGGATGGGTGTAGCAAAATTAGTGTTGTTTGCACAAGATGATTTCTGAGATTCCCTTCTAATTCCTAATGATTCTAGGATTTTCCTTGTAGTATTTAGAATTAGAGTGTAGTAATTAGAATTAGATCAACAAGAGCTGGAGTTTTCAGGGAAGGCTTTGTTAGGGAGATGGGGCTTCAACTTGGCCTTCCTTCTAGGATAGGTGGGATATGAATAAGTAGATAAGAAGGAGGAGAGTATTCCAGGTACTAGAAACAGCATGAGTAAAGAAAGGCCTGGAGAGAAATAATGGACTAGAAGGATTAGGACTTAGCCCAGGGGTTTTTTTGGGAACATATAATGACCCAGTGATGGTATGATCAACATACCTTTATTGAGTAGCTATCTATGTTATGTACAGGCAGCTAGGTGTCATAATGGATAGAGTGCTGTGCCTCAAGTCAGGAAGACTCATTTTCATGAGGTCAAATCTGGCCTCAGACTAGCTGTGTGACCCCGGGTAAGTCACTTAACGATGTTTGCCTCAGTTTCCTCATCTGAAAAATGAGCTGGTAAAGGAAGTAGCAAACCACTCCAGTATCTCTGTCAAGAAAACCACAAATAGGGTCACAAAAAGTCAACATCACTGAAAAAATGACTGGACAACAACAACATCTATGTTGAGGCTAGGACTGTGCTCACTACCACTGCCAATGCAAGACATAGCTCCTGTCCTCAGGGGGCTTATAGTCTAGTGGAGGAAGGTCAAGACAGGTATATACAAAGGCAACTAACAGTATAAGGTAGCCTATGCTGAAAGCCCAGTGAGTGGTAGTCATTAAGTAGTATTAGTCATTCAGGTCAGTCAATAAACATTCACAATAAGTGATTTCTATATCTTGTAAAAGTCCAATCCTAACTTTCATTTGTTTTGTGTGGAATCTCTGCCTTGACAGTCATTGAGCTAGGAAGTCTTCTTGTAAAAGCACTCACATGAAGGGAGGCGTAGTTATACCTACTCATTAGACTTCCTCTTGCCTTTGCAGGTTGTAGAATTAGGCACCATCAAATTCCATCGTGCATTGACTATGGAGTTAAATATTTACTGGGTCTGTAGTTTAGAGGGCGAGAGTAAACCTTAAGGAATGCTACAGGTTGGCTCTACAAGGAAACAGTTTCAAGGAAGGAAAGGAACAGATAACCAGAACTACAGTATTTTTATCCTTCTCATAGGCCAAACCTGTATGTTTTCTCATGGGTTTAGGAGACTCCTGTGGCAATTAATATTATCTCAATAAGATCATATGCTCTTTCAGCAGAGAGCTAAGCACTCACACAATGTCTTGGGTATAATATGCCTTCAGTAATTTCTTAAATATTTGTGGATTTGAATTGAGGGTGGTTGTCTCTTGGGTTCCATTTCCTTACTACAATGTGCTCTTCATCTGCCTCCATGTAACTTGAGTTCACTTTCTTTTCTTTCTTTTTGCCCCCCACTTTAAATTTTTTTCTCACTTAATAATTTTTTTCCAATTACATATAAAGATAGTTTTCAACATTCACCTTTATAAGGTTTTGAGTTCCAAACTTTTTTCTCCCTTCCCTCCCCCCTCCCCAAGATGGCATGCAATCTGATATAGGTTATACATGTACAATCATATTAAACATATTTCCATATTAGTCATGTTGTGAAAGAAGAATCAGAACAAAAGGGAAAAGCCATGAGAAAGAAAAAACAAAAAAAGTGAAAATAATATATTTCAATCTGCATTTAGTCTCCATAGTTCTTTCTCTGGATGTGGATAACATTTTCTATCATGAGTCTTTTGGAATTGTCTTGGATCATTGTATTGCTGAGAAGAGCTAAGTCTATCAAAGTTGGTCATCCCACAGTGTTCTCTTGATTCTGCTCACTTCACTTAGCATCAGTTCATTTACATCTTTCCAGATTTTTCTTAAATCTGCCTGCTTATCATTTCTTATAGCACAATAGTATTCCATTACATTCATATACCACAAATTGTTCAGCCATTTCTGAATTGATGGGCATCCCCTCAGTTTCCAATTCTTTGCCAGTACAAAAAGAGCTGCTATAAATATTTTTGTACATGTGGGTCCTTTTCCCTTTTTCATGATCTCTTTGGGATACAGCCCTAGAAGTGCTATTGCTGGATCCAAGGGTATGCACATTTTTATAGCCCTTTGGGCATAGTTCCAAATTGTTCTCCAGAATGGTTGAATCAGTTCACATTGAGTTCACTTTCTCAGTTATGCACATGGGAATGACACTTCTTGCCACCTTTTTTATAGCACAATAAGACTGATATGAAATAACCTGATGGGACTACTTAGAGGAAAAGGTAATCCCAACCAGCACAAATTATCCTTTGTATTTGAATTTCATACTTAATCTGAAAGGTGAACTACTCAGCATCTTCTCTCCTACCATTACTTGGGGAGGGATGGGAGGTAGAGAAGAGAATGATGTTCATGTCTGGTTTTGAATGTTCCCATGAAAAAAGGAGAAAATAACAGTGTTGGCACCAAATCTACATTTTCAATAGCCCCAAAATACACTTGGGTCACTACCACTCTTTGCTCTGTTCTGACAGTGTTCTCCATGGCCAGATATTCCTTACCAAGTAAACAATGTCCCATCACCGAGTTACAACAGCTCTCCAAACAGCTTCAGCCTGGGAGATGGGTATGTCTGGAAATTTCTTCCTTTGGATTATGTGTAAAGATATTGTTAGGTTTATTTTGTCATCTTCCTTTATCTCTCTTGTAGCCCAAGTGTGGGGGGCATTGAGATTTATTTGAGAATTGTTTAGTTAAAGTATTGTATTACCCTTATTTAATGCTAATAAAAGAGACAAATGTACATCACCCCTCAGTTTTTAGAGCCTATTTTCAGCATGATGAGGGTGATCGGAAACCTTAGGAAACACATAGACCAACTCTACTTTAGGATGGCAGATAAACTGCTAGTCATTGATTGGCTTGGATCATTTATGTTATGTATATATAAGGCAGTAACACATTAAGGTCTGTGGGGAAAATATACCCCAATCTCTACTTCTGTCACTAATGATGGGCTTGGAATTCTTAACATTTTGATGTCCCTTAGGGCAGGTATTGGAGACAGTGTGATAAATGATAAGAAAAGAGCAGTGGACTAGAAGTTAGGGGACCTGAGTTCTAGTCCTCCATCTGATACTGGGTTACTGTGGCTTTAGCTTTGTGACTTTGGGGAAGTTGATCAACCTTTCAGTGCCTTAGTTTTCTCACCTACAAAACAGAGTTGGACTGAATGGTGTCTGTATTTTCATTCATCTCTGAAAATGCCTAGTAGTTCACTGAACGTTCCCTGTGATGAATGCATTTACTTGGCCTTTGGAGATATGATACCCTTAAATGAAGAATTGGTATCCTAGAATTTGGTCTGAGTTTCAGTTTTCTGATTCCCTGATTTCCAGCTGGCTGGGATTATGAAGCCCCATGAGAATAATTTTTCTCCCTCTTTAGATTCTTTTCAGGGTTGAGATAGGTTGGCTGCTTGTGGAGGAAACTATAATGAAGAAAGTAAATGTGCCCATATAGCTATTTGTGTCAAGAGATTGAGCTCTAAAATTTAAAATCTGTATGATCTTTGTTGGGGTCTGTGTTACTAAAAGGAAGGCAGTGGGAGCAGGTAGGTGGCACAGTGGATAGAGCACCAGCCCTGGAGTCAGGAGGACCTGAGTTCAAATCCGGCCTCAGACACCTAACACTTACTAGCTGTGTGACCCTGGGCAAGTCACTTAACTTCATTGCCTAGTGCAAGTATCTGCAACTTGATTACCTGGGCTTGGGAGGGATTATCCATTGGACTTAATTTACCAGGACCTTCTGCCAAATAACAAAGGGTTAATTCAGGATTTTGATGATTCATATTTTAAAATAAATTTTCTCTGACTGCACCAAAATAAAAAAAGCTAGAAAAGAAAAAAAAGAAAAAGAATTCAATTGTGTGAGAAAATCTTTTGTTTGCATTTCATTTAAAGTAAGCTGTACTTAAAAATAATACTGTTACCTACATTGCAATGTGCCTGATAGGAAAGACAGATCTTAGTTAATTCTTAGAAAAGCACAGTCGTTAGATAACTAGTATGCTGTACTGTGAGGATTTGCCCTAATGCTTTTTTTTCTCCTAATCTTATGCAAATTTTTTAGCAACAGTTCTCCAACTCACCAAGTGGAGCCTCTGCCTATCAGCAATGATGTAAGTATTTGAGATCATTTTAATGTGCTGCTTTTCTCTTTTAGGACACTGATGAACAGTTCATTTCAAGGCCTCTTATTCTTTTTGCAATGTAGCACCTCCTTCCTTCCGCTTCTATTCAAGATGCCCAGCAATGGCTTTACCGCAATAGGTTTTCTCCGTTCTGTAGACTCTTCTCAAGTTTCTCTGGTGAGTTAAATGGTTCCCTAAGTACCTTCCTCAAGTGTAGGTAGATTATTTCTATATTTATAGAATGTATTACACGCTATGGTATCAATCACAGCATTTCAGTGTTGGAAGGGTCTCAGTGCCATCTCCCATCCGTACCCCAAAAAGAACCCTTATTGCACCCCATCTGGAAGGCATTTAATCCAGTCTTTCCTTAAAGACTTCCAGGGAAAGAAAAGCTTGCTACCAATCAAGAGCAAATATGACCTCCTGCAGGGAGGTGCTCTTCTTCCATCTGTTTCTCCAGAGACAAGATTTTTCATTATATTTTAAGCAGCATTTATTTGTTGTTCTTTAAGTTTATATTGTTGTAGTCATTGCATATATTGTTTTCCTAGCTCTGCTTATTTCTGTATCATACAAGGGTACCCATGTTTTTCTGAATTTACATAGTTTCCACTTTTTAGGGCATAATAATATAGACAAATGGTAGTAACAATAAAAGAAAGATTCCATTCCAAACTGCTAATCACATAGTGCTTCAAAGGTCTTTGAAGGTAGGTGATAGTGGCTGAAAATATAAAGAAGTTTAGGAAAGTTTAGATAAAGTCATGGGTAAATGATACCTAGTGGGGTGATATGGGAGGAATAACCTGTTTCTTGGTACCTCTCCCAGAACACTATGTCACCACCCTTCAAAAACAGAATCTTGCTTTGAATGGAGCATAGGACTAATCCAGGAGATATTTCCTTAAGGTGTTATTTTGGTTACTTTTGTATATGCTGAAATTACTCTTTGCCTCATTACCTTCTAGGTTTTTCCCCTCCTCAGGTCTTTTTATTTCCTCCTGTTCCAAAGATTCTAAATGAAGTCTTGGTAGTAAAGGCACCATGTAGAAAGTAGTTAATTTCTTTGTAACATTTCTTAATTGTGTTGTATGTATATTCATGTCCATTCAGTTAGATTGGACACTGTGCTCAGCAAATCCTTGTTGAATTAAAGAGAATTGCATTGCAGTAAAGGGAGTTTGCATTAGATGAATTCTATTTAAGGGCATAAATCCTCTCTCTGGTGTGTCTGGAGAATTTTAAGCTTCACATCTGTGTTCCCTCTCTGTCCTTTCTCTACAGTTCTCCTAATGCTGATGAATGGTGTCTACTTTATGTAACTGTCCACCTGTGAGAAAACTCTCCCTCTTCTGATAACTCTTTTCTTTAAAACTCATTTATGTATAGTCTTTTGTTTGGTATTGTCTTCTCAAGTAGACTATGGGCAGTTTGAAGAGAAAGGACTGTGCCATGTTGTTCTTTGTATTCCACAAAATGCCTTCCTAGCCTAGTCCCTTGTGTGTAGCAAATGTGTGTAGCAGGTGCTTGCGCAATAATAAAGATCTACAGAGAAGGAGATTCTTCATCCTCACTATAGGAAATCCATTCCCAAATCTAAAGATCAAAATCTGTAGTTAATTTTTTCGGTTGTATTCTGCCCTCCATGGTATTAGAGAAAAATTAGGTTGGCTACATAAAGACTAATGGTTCCTTCCTGGATTTTGTTTTCTATACCCTGTGGGTGCCTGTTCTTTAATGTCTAGGTGCTGACTTACTGAAGATGTCCAAAGAAGATTTTGTTCAAATCTGTGGCCCTGCTGATGGGATCCGCCTCTTCAATGCCATCAAAGGCAGGTGTGTGATTATTTCAAACTAGCACATCTGGAGCAGTTTGAAGTTACAATACCTTTTGAAGATTTCTGGAGCTTTTATCATTGGTGTGACCGAAACCATATACCCTGAGTCTATATCCAAACTGGAGTACCTGGTTGGTCTGGGACTGAAGAGTTCCATGGCAGAACTGATGCTTATATTGACTGTTTCTTTGCTCCAAATTTGACTTAAGCCTTTGTCACCTTTTTTGCTGACTTAGACTATTTTTTATCTAGTTGCTCAAACATTTGTTGAATGTCATTGTCTCCGGGCTCTTCTCCCACTCCAGGGCAACTTTATGGACTGATGACCTAAAGGGCAAATGTACTAGTCCTTCAGAAGCCCTTTGGTTCCTCCTTGTTGTCTTTCTGCTCCAGTTTGGGACTTGTGTATCTGTAGAAGTATTTGTTTGACAATTAGGAAGCTGGACAGTTGGCTCATTCATGGGATATATAGCAAGGTAGTTTGGGCCACTTGTTTTCTAAGCAGGGTCATTCTTAAGTCATTCCAGAGGGATGGGTATCTGTCTCCTATTGCTAACTTCACAGATAGAAGTTGGTGGACTTTCTTCTACTATCTAGCAACTTAAAATCCAGAGTCGTCTTTTTCTTTCCTCTCTCGATCCTCTCCAGGACATTTTTAGTCTTTTTGTTCTTATTCTGCTTTCTGTGGAAACAGAGAATTAAATTAACTGACCATTATCCCATGTAAGAACCTACATTTGTTACTGGTTTGTTTGCTTTTTTTTGTTTGTTTGTTTGGTTTTACTGCTAGAAATGTAAGGCCAAAGATGACCATCTATGTGTGCCAGGATTTGGAGCAGAACAGGTCTCATCTTCAGCAGAAGAGAGAAGGTGGAGACAGCAATTTGTGTGGTAAGTTGGTCAGGAGGGGCTAACCAGTGGGACTAGAGATTCTCATTCATCATCCTTTTCTCTTTAGACAAGGGGCCGCTTGTGAGCTGTGTGGCAAGTATGGATGGAATAATGAAATAAATAAGCACAGTCAGAGAATTATGCTTTGGCATGGTGTTCTGAAAAAGGAAATTCTATTACTGGGGCAAGAAAGTTATCTCCAGGAGGATTTTTTTCTATTCTCCTTCCTTAATACTTAAGATCTATGTGATAGGAAGTCTTGTTAAATGTAGTTTTATGTGGTCTTAAGATTGTTAAAGCCAGAATGGCCCTTTAGAGACTTCAACCATTTTGCAGGTGAGGAAACTCAAATCCTTAAATGTGATTGTGATCTGCCCAAGGTCACATATCTGGTAAACTTTGTGAATCAACCTCGGGTCTCTTCAGCCTCAAGTCATTGCTCATTCCATTGTAATATATGAAGAATATGTCATCCACTACTATGTCATAGTCAATGAAGAAGCTTATAAAATGCTTATGAAAAAAATGATGCTTAATCACTATGTTCCTGGGAATAAAGCAATAGACGATGGACACTGCCTAGTTGTTCCCTAGACTTATAATCATCCCCCTTGAATTTGATAAAAATCTGTGGACCTTCCTTTGATTGTACATTTTAAGTGAACTTCATTTTTCTTCCACAACAATAGTGGCAAGGCTAAAGGGAGGTTAGGGGATCTTAGGAACACATAAGCCACAATGGTTTAACTTCCTAAGAAGTATTAGCAACTATAATACTCAGATCCTCTCTTCCAACCAATAGAATCTCCAAAGTGGCCCTTTCTAGTTTGGGATCTTGTTTCTGCACCCCATCAATGATGCGTTATTTCCCTTTGATTTGGAAATAACCGTTAGCTGCAAGAAAAAGACAGAAATGTGTTTGTTAATCCTTAAAGAGGTACACTGGAATTTTTACATCTCTGTTTATTTGTAAAGTAGAATTCAGGTTAAAACATGTTCTTCTTGGACCACATTTATGAAGTTGGGGGGATGGTGAATTTCTGAAATGTGCCAAAAGACACATTATCATGTGGCTTAAACTATAATGCAATAGTATGGACTGGGCTCTAAGGTTCTTGTACGTTTTTGTCCCAAAGTTTGTGCTTGATAGGCATGTTTGACCTATTATAGTCATTGGTGTTGAGTAAGATGCCAAGAAAATAGATTTTCTTTTTCTTCCACCAATCTCACTGGCTAGTTGAGTAAAGACAAGGAGTCCTGATAAATACAGGGACTTTGCAGCTAAACCAGACGTGGATCAGAAGCTCCAGATTACTACAGTTTAAAGAGTAGTTAAATATTGGAAAGTCAGTTGTTTGCTCCAGCTTATGGGCCTTCCTTATTGAAATATATGGTTGACATTCAAGTAACTTTATAGCCTTTAGCCAGTTAATGTGATACAACTATTTCTGGAGTCCTAGATGTTGGCTGGCCTTTCACCCCTGTATCTTTAGGGTGGCAAAGCAGCCACCAGAAATGTTTGGCATTAAAATTTTCAAAATAGTTCATGTACTCTGTCGTCAAAAACCATATTTTTTTAAAACCCCAATAACCTTTTTATATTCTCATTTCATCTTTTTGGAATCTAAAAGATAGAGCTGGAAAGAATCTTCTATACATAATACAAGATAGAAAAGTAACCACTCTGTGGGTAGGATGGTGCATGTCTGTAGTCTCTGCTATTGAGGAGGCTGAGGCTGGTGGATCAATGGAGTTTGGAAGCTTTGAATATCAGTGGGGCTAAAGTCAACTGAACATCTGCACTAATTTTGGCACCAATGTGGTGAGCCCCAGGGAGAAGGGGGCTGCTAGGGAGAAGTGAACCAGCCCATTTTGGAAACAAAGCAGGTTAAAGCTTAAAGCTTCCCTGCCAATCAGCAATAGGATTGGGTGAAATAGGGAAGTCCAGCCTCCAAAGAAAAAAAAAGAGTAACTAACTATCATGTTTATGAATGACCACAAATAAATTCCTATGTGAATGGTGGGCAGGGAGATAACTTGCCTTTTTTAGAATGTGCTTTACCTATTTTTTTTTCCATTTAAGAATGTTCTGTTGATGCTTTCTTTTTTTTAATATGCATCATACCTACTTTTTGCCTCCTTCTGAGAAGTCTCTCTTTTAATATAATTTTTTTGTAACAAAATATAAATGATGAGAGAGATAGTATCAGTGCCTATTATTTATATATTAGCTAACATTTCTATAGGGCTTTAAAATTTTCAAAGCCCTTTACATATATTATTTTATTTGATTGTCATAGCAGTCCTATAAGGCAGGTGCTATCATTGTTCCCATTTTATGAATGAGAGAAACTCTGACTGAGAGTGGTTAAAGTGACTTGCTTAGAGTCACGCATACACAGCTAATAGATGGTAGAGAAGTTGAATGGAGATCTTCCTGAGTCAAGTTTAGTCCTCAGTCTGCTGTGCCCAGTTCCCTTGGAAAATGGTTTAAATGTTAAAATTATCATCATCATAAAAGGCATTATTTATCAAAGAAGGATTCCATATAACCAAGCAACTTTCACATCCCCTTGAACGACCCAGAGTAAATAACTCTTTTAATTAGATTACAGCTTCTGTAATAAACCATGCAATTCTTATCCTTTATAACCTAAAGTACCTGCTTGGGTGTTGTTTGCTTTGCAGGGGAGGGGTATAAGAAGGGAACAGGAAAGCTGAACTCTTTCCAGTACTTTTGTTTGGCCATCAAATATTACGATCCCTTTGACTCTCCTTCTCTCTTTCTCTCCCTCCCCCCAACTTCCAAATTATCCATTAAGTGGAACAATGTAAAATGATCTACAAGCATGATGGGAAAAGTCAGTGGTATATTCATGTCTCCTTCCCCTTTCTCCTAATTTATTCTCTTGCTAATGTGCAACAGAGGATGAGCAGTGGCTCTCTTTCATGTATTATATCCTGTAGCCCAGGAATATTATTTCTAGTAATAAGCTTATTATAACCATATTCCACTACAATAAGTAATTTGAAATACCATTCTTTGGTATATGTAATAATGTGGTTTATGTTTTTGACAAGAAACATTCTTTTTAAACATTTTTTATTTTGTACCTATCACCCTCCCCCCATGAGCAAAGTAGAACAGAAAAAAAATGATTATATATGGAACTATGAATTGCCATTATATATAACTAGCTTTAAAAATATGTATATAATATATAATAAAATATTATATACAAAATACATGTGAATACTTGTGTGTGTGTGTGTGTGTGTGTGTGTTTCACCCTGTTTATTTCAAAGCCATCCTTTTTATATTTCTTTCTGTCTAAATTTGGTTCTCTTCTCTTCTTTGGATTTTCTTTTTAATGTTTCATTGACTTTTCATTTTTGTTTTTTGACAATACTCTTGCTTTCCCTCTTCACTTCTCCCTCTGTTGAAAAAGAAAAACAGAACCTCTGTAATGAATAAGCATGAGCAAACAAAGCAAAGCCACCCATTTGCCATGTCTGAAAATGTAGACCTCTTTCTGCAGCTTTAAATCTAGTCTCTCTTTGTCAGGAGGGTGGAGAATTTGTTTTCATCATTAGTCCCCCGGAGTTGTGATTGGTCATTGCATTGCCCAGTGTGCTTAAGACTTTAAAAACAGTTTTTTACAGTGTTGTTTTTATTGTATAAATGGTTCTCTTGGTTTTGCTCAGTGTCCATTCTTTAAAATAGAAAGGCAAGATATTATTTTTCCATGGATCTGTGGACTTCTACTAACTTAGGTAATTAGTTAAAAGTAGTATATTCCTTAGAGAGCAAACTTTTCCAAAGAGCTAGCTAAAAGTATTTTCTTGTTTCTTCTCTCTTCAGTGTACCATGCTATCTTTTTGGAAGAGCTGACCACTTTGGAGCTAATTGAGAAGATTGCAAATCTCTACAGCATTTCCCCTCAGCATATTAACCGAGTCTACAGGCAGGGACCAACGGGGATCCATGTGGTGGTGAGCAATGAGGTGAGGACCATCTGATACCAGGTAGCAGAGTTCAACTGCTACCTGACCTTTATTCCTCTTAAGTCGGGTGACCTTTTGGACTGTGGTGAGATCCTGGACAAAGTTGCCTGAAATAAAAGGTGGGGGGGAGGTAAATGTAGGGTATAGGCATGACTATAGCTAACTTTTTTTCTTTTTAGAAATGATAACAGGTATTATTTCAATACAGAGTGATCTTTCAGAGACCCAGGCTTGTTTAGGGAGAAAGATTGTCTTACCAAATTTAGAGACAGAAGATTTATTACCATTTCACTTAGGATTTTCAGCACCCCATCTACTCAAAATCCTTTCCCTCAAAACCAATGATTTATGAGATAGGCAGGGCATGAAACCTTAAATGACTTGCCTGGGACCATGTGGCTATCAAGGAAAAGTCCAGAGATCCGGAATGTCAGGCCACTTCTCTTTCCATTATACCACACCGTCTCTCACACAGGAAAATTCCAATCCACAAAAGGCGATATAAGACCAAGTGTGGAAATGAATAGTGTTTCCATTCAGGGCCTATCTATCCAAATTTTAAAAAAGAAGATATCACTCTTGCCTTAAGAATGGTCAGTAGAAGTTTCAGTGAGGAGACTACATTGAAGCTTGGACTTAAAGGGTGAATAGAATTTTGGTGGGCAGAGAAGATAGGGCAGCCTAGAAGGTGGGACACTAGAAACATTCCTTTTAGCAGTTTAACCTCTAGATTGAGCCACTGTGAAGCAAACAACGGAGATGGGTTCCCAGTTTTAGTTGGGATTAAGACAGGTAGTTCATCATAGAGGCAATATGATGTAGTAACAAAAACACTAGTCCTGGTCCCTGGACCCTGGAGATCTGGATTTGATTCCCACCTCCAATATTTGTTAGGCTCTGTTACCCTGGTCTAGTCACTTAACTTTTCTGACCTTCAGATTCCTCATCTGCAATATGGGAATAATAAAATTTGCACCATCTTCATTAAGGGTTGTTTTTTTGTTTGTTTGTTTGTTTTTTTAGGAAAGAGCTTTTATAACTAACATTTATATTATAGTATTTTATTATTGCCCACATGAAAGTTTAAATCCAGAGGCTCTTTTGGCCAGAATGTGTCCACAGCATCTATTTGTCCTTGTGTATGTTGCAGAAGAAGCTAATAGCCAGGCTTTTATGTAGCGCTTTACAGTTTGGAAAGCCCTTGATGTGTTATAGCACTTGATTCTCACAATTAGATGCTGCTTTTATCTCCATTTTACAGTTGAAGAAACTGAGGCTGAGAGCGGTTTAGAAAGTTACACAACTAGTAAGTGTCTAGAGTAGGATTCAAGTGCAAGTGTTCCTGAATCCAAATTCAATATTCTCTCTATTGAACCATTTAGCTAGCTTCAATATTTGGTGCTGACTACTTGGGGCAAAAAGAAAGAAGATTGTGGGTTGGATGATTGGAGAAATAGCTCTTGGCGACACAGGATAACTTTAGAATAAGAAAGTTTACAAGGTTCTAGAGATGAAGCAAGTCAGGGAGGAGGAGCCCTGGTATTTGGCTTTCAAGAATGAATCACCATTTATTAAAACCAGAAACAAAAAACCTAATACCCAGACCCCTGCAATTTTGTGAACTGCAATCCTGGAAGGAAATTCATTGAATAACATCGTGTTCAAAGCTTAGACCCAGCTGGTTAAAGCAAGTGGAACAAGGCAGAATTCAAACGTGGCCTGGATTTAAGCAGGCAGTGCTTATTCCGCAGAGGCTTCTTGCCTTTTTGCCCTGATTAAATGAGAAACTTTCAACTCTAATCATCTCAAAATGCTTTGAGGCAACCCTGGTGGGGAATTGCCTTGGCCCCTTTGGGAGTAAGGGGACTAAATGAAATGCTTAAGTTACTGATTAACAATATATATGGCTTTATTTGGGGGCTTTCGTGGCCATGCAGCAGGACAGCCAGAGTAATAGATTGGGCAAACAAGAGGAACAGAATAAACATACTTCATGCATCATTAGGCACCTGAAGTGGGTATATGTGCGTGTTGGAGCGGACGGGGGGAGGGGAGCTGGGGGAGGGGATCCTGGGGAATGATCAAGCCCAAATTATCATTCACATTCTTTGGTTGTTGCATTGTTAGTCAGAGAGTTCTGTGACCTTTATAAAAAGTTAGTTGCAGATTTAAAGCAGGATGCCATTTTGCCATTTTAAAGATTGGGCCGGGGCAGCTAGGTGGCGCAGTGGATAGAACACTGGCCGTGAAGTCAGGAGGACCTGAGTTCAAATTCGGCCTCAGACCAAACACTTGACTCGTACTAGCTGTGTGACCTTGGGCAAGTCACTTAACCCTGATTGCCTCACTAAAAAAATACAAAAATACAAAAAAAAAAAAAGATTGGGCCACTGAGGCTTGGAGAAAGAGAGTAAACTTGCACAGTAACCAAGCATGGAATCAACATTTGGATTCTCAGTTCATCAGAATAAATGGTTTGTGCTGTCTCCTTCCTGTGCACTGATGTCTGCCACGCACATCCCTCCCATTTTATTAACTGGTATACAAAGTTATCACCTACATTGTAAGATTGTGAGATCCTTGAGTTTAGGGATAATTTCTGTTCCCAAATGTGCTTCTTGGTTACCCAGTTCACTATTTGAACTCCTCCTGGGTAAGAAAAGGCTGATGGAATAGAGAAGGTCCAAGATGTGGGACAATAAGTTGGAGGAGCATTTAAATCCAGAAATGATCACAATCCTCTCCCAGACCCCAATGCATCTTAACAGAGGATGTGTTATTGAAGGTTTAACCTCTTTTCACATTGTCTCTATTTCTACACCTTGTTCCATAGAGATCACAATTTGAATATTTCTCTTCTTGAGGGATAGGTACCAGACCTGTTGTTTGATTGGTATAGGGTATATTTGATAGGTATAGGTCAGAGCTTTCTCTGCAGCTTTAATTATCAGAGAATTGCCTGAAGCACTAGGAGGTTAGGTGACTTGCCCAAGGTCACATAGCCACTATATCAAAAGTCACTTAATGTCTTAGTGTTCCTGATGCCTCCCTAGGATGCTAAATTAAAACCAAATCTACATAGGTAAGACATTTGTCCCCACACAGAGTTATCCACACCACTAAAATCACTGCAGCCTCCTTCCCCTACCAAAAAAATGACATTGTAAATTCCTTGAGAGCAGTATTGGCTCTTAGTTATTTTTGTTTACTTAACAAGTGCTTGGCAAAGTGCATTGCTTATAAATGGTGTATCATATTTTGTTACATGAATGAATGAATATTACATTGTATGAAAGGAAAGAATTGGGACCGTTTGATGTATCAGTAGTTCTTGAACAAAACCAGGGCCTGACAGCAAAAGTGAACTTGGGAGTTGCATAGTAGAGCGTCAGCCATGGTTTGGAATACATGGAAGGAGGAGATGGGAGGTGGGATTTTACAAAAAGCTTGATGCAAAAGAGAGAGTCTGGCAAGTTGGATGGAGGGAGGATGCTCCCAACAGAGGTTGTGGGAGTTTTAATGTTATCTTTCATTGTTCATTATTCCATAGTAAGACTCTGACTCTGGGCAATTAATTCTGCAATTTACCTCAGCTCTACATATGCCACCTCTGGGGAAGCTAGAGATGGAAAGTGTACGACAAAGCACTGAGCTCATTTCGTTCCCTCTAGGCCGGGTTGATATAGATGGCATCATTGGACCCTGCCAGGGCATTCACTTAATATCCATTGTTGGTGCTGATGAATTGAAGCCTCTGATAGCAAAGAGCAGGCAGGGGCATGTTTGGGAATTTTTTGTGGCTATGCTTGAATTCTTTCATTGGACAGCATGGTGGCCCTGATGTAAATGGATCATATTTGTTCAACTTGTTCCTTAAATTGAAGCACCAGAGGACAAGGTCTTTTTAAAAGTGGCTACAATTTAGGGGCAGCTAAGTGGCGCAGTGGATTGAGCACCGGCCCTGGATTCAGGACGACCTGAGTTCAAATCTGGCCTCAGACACATAACACTTAGTAGCTGTGTGACCCTGGGCAAGTCACTTAACCCCATTGCCTAGCCCCCCCCCCCCCAAAAAAAGTGACTACAATTTTATTGCTGCAGCATTTTCTTCTTTTGGGTGTAGGTCTGCCATTAGCTTCTTTCTTGGGACTCTCTACTGCTTTTCTCAGTGGAGAAAATCATTAGAATTGTCCTCTACAACTGTATGGAGAGGGGTGTGTGTGTGTGTGTGTGTGTGTGTGTCCGTGCGCATGCGCCTTTAGATATTATAGAGCACTTTAATGTTTGCAAAATACTGTAGATATGTTATCTCATTTAATTCTCACAATAACCTTGGGTGGTAGTTGCTATTATTATCCCCTTTTACAGATAAGGAAACTGAGGCTTAAAGAGGTTTAAGTGTTAGGATCACACAGCTAGTATCAGAGGTAGGATTTTAACTCAGGTCTTCCTGATTCCAAGTCCAGTGACTATCATCTGTCTCCCCCAAAATAGAATCATAGAGATTTCCATTATCATTTATGTGCCCCCGCCATGGGAATCTTGATTTGTACATCTACATAAGGATAACTAAGATTTTTATGCCTGGTCAGTACTACAAAATGGAAAGTTAGCTGTCTCTCTGGGTTTTGTCCTACATATTTGGCTTGCTGAAAGAAGGTACCATTTTTTTTTCTTTTTCTTTTTGTCTTTCAGATGGTACAGAATTTCCAAGATGAATCTTGTTTTGTTATCAGCACATTAAAAGGTAGGACCTCTTCTGCCTTTTAAAAAAGATGAAGTACTTTTGATTGCAGTATAAGAGTCAGAAGAAGATGCTAGGGCAGATTGAAATTGGGAACAAGGAATGATGCCTAGCTAGCTAGGTCTGAGACTTCCTCTCATGAGAGATCTGGTCTATGTGGTGGGGGAGACACATGGTATCAGTGGCTTTGTCCTGGTAAATACTACCAAGAGAGAAAAGAGCACCACACAGAAATTTAGCTAAGTGAAATTGTGTTGACCCAATGTAACTTCTGAAATTTGAAAGAGGGGGCCTATGAAAAGAACTCTTCATTGTTCCCTGGATATCAGATGGTCTTTGTGAGCTTGAAAATAGTAGATAGAGGTAGAAACACATGAAATAGTTACTTTAAATGAAATTTGAGAGAACAGAAAACAGCCATTCAAAATATTGGCTTGAACGTATAGTTCTCTAATAATGGATTCATGAGTGACTTGAAACATTTAATTACATGTTTGTTTCCATAACCGATGACATTGACCTGAGAAAAGTCACAGCTTTGTTGTTTGGTGGACCCCTTCTGAATGAAACTCTTGGGTGCTAAGAACACTCCATGTTTTGTTTGTTTTTTGGCCTGTAAGATCCTCCCTTAGGGACAAGTTAGTTAAAAAATGCCACACTATTGTACCTTTAATGACTGAGAGAGAGGGCCATTCCAGTGATGACATCAGAAACTCAGCAAGCATCCGTGAGGATCTGTGAGACAACATTGGAAGTACATTTAGGAACTTCCTGCAGATCCTTGTTATTTACTGCAGCCTGGCAAGAATAATTTAAAAAGACAATGAAAAACCTCCAGCAAATGAAAATATATATTCAGTCTGCTTGCAGATTCTACCCAACACTTCCCCACGTGCAAACTGTGTCATACATAATACCTATGGGGCTGGTGTTAGGAGCTTGTAACAAGGGTTTTGCTTGGGAGTGATGGGCTAGAAGGAAATACCCTTTTAGAATTTTGCTCAGGAGATGCACATAATATATTTATTCCCCTGTCCAGGTCCTTAGCAGAATTTGATAACTAATAAAAACAGTGTTATAGTCTATAGTTTCAGTTATTAATATTTTTTCATGCCCTTATTCTGATTTTTGTATGCTATCTAGGCTTGTGTTCAAGTTGAATATGTTTTGGGGTTTATTATTATTATTATTATTGTTATTACTAAAATTTTATTTTTAGTTTTCAACATTCACTTCCATAAGATTTTTGAGTTCCAAATTTTCTCCTCATTGGGGTTTATTATTGATGAGCTGTAATATAATCACAAACCGAATGGGAAAGCTCTTTGGTCATTAGGAAATGCGTGGAGGAAGTATCAAGCAATGTATCAGCTCTTCATACAACAGAGGGGTTTGCCTGCCATTTTTTTTTAAACAAAGTTAGTTTATGATATTTAGCTTTTATAAATCAATTGAGAATCTTTGATTCTCAAATTTTGATTTTTGATTCGAGAATCTTTGATTCTCAAAATTAGTGACATCTTTTGTTTTCATGGCACCTACATTTCTCAATACATCCCCCCTCCCTGTTTCTCCTGTAAGAGAGCAATCCCTTATTAACAAAGAAAGAAAAAAAAACAGTTTAAAAACTAATCAACCCATTGAAGAAGCCTGAGATTGTAGGTAATATTCCTTCTGCAAAGAAGGAGTGTGGGTTGGAGGGAGAAAGTAGAGAGGTGACTTGTTATATCTCTGCTCTGAGGTCAAGCTTGATGATTATAATTTCATAGCCGGAAATTTGGTTTTTTAATATGTTTAATAATTCTTTGGCCCTCTTCCTTGAAAAAGTCCATTGTTTCTTTGTTGTAGCTGAAAGCAATGATGGCTACCACGTCATCTTGAAATGCGGACTCTGAATGCCAGGATCCTTAACCACATCAGACTCCAAGGCACCCCTTTCTTTCTGTCTTCTCCCCTCAACGTAGACATCACCCCAGCTGCAAAATACAGAGACTTGTGGAAAAAAAAAAAGCAAAAGCTTAAAAGGGACCACCACAACTACAGGAAACAGCGATGACGATGACAACTTGGCAGAGATGGAAGAAAAGACATTGTCCAGAAAATGTACTCCTATCCCCTCCCTCACTTCCTTGTCCTCAAGCCTTCTTAAGCTCTCCCATTTTCTCATCCTTGTTCACTAGCCATGTCATTCTAGAAGGAAAAAACAACAGCACTCATTTTTTTCCCTCTGAAACTTCACTCCTGGGGAGGAGCCTGGGTTTGAATTTTTTACCCTTTGGATTCCTTGGCTTCCCTGTCTCCCAGTCCTCTTGTTTCACATCAGTGCCTTCTCATTGACTAAGTGGATCTATGGGTAAAACTGTTAGATTCTGGTGACTTGCCCTGCCAAGTCCTCAAGGCTCCTAGAAGTACTTTCCCTTTTCACTTCTTTTGGGGAATGCCTCCCCTTTTCTTTTCCTCTAAGATTTAATGATATAACAGTTGTGGTTCATTTTGTGTTATTATCCTGTCTCTGTTTGCTGTCCCTCCTTCCTTCCCTATCCATGTTTCAGAATAATTTTGTACATTTTTAAAGTATGGTATAACCTCTCCCAGGGCATGCTTTGGTGCAGTTGTATCTTCACTCCGATATTTGTGAATGGCCCACTTTGTTTGTAGTACCCACTATATTGATAAATGCTCCTTCGGAAGACTTCTGGGCCCCCAGAGGTGAGATTAGACCATTTTCTAAGGATTCCACAACTAAAGAAAGTGAATGTTGACTTTCACAAAGGGTAATTGAAATGGGGCTCAAAGTATAGGCCACAGCCTATCCTGTGGTTTGGTGTGCTTTTAATTTTATCTTTTCTTTTAAACATTTGTGAGATTGGTAATGATTGGGAAAGGAAAAAGCCCCTGAATTTCTAGTTAACCCTGAAATGTTTTTGACAATCATGGTACCAGAGTTCTTGGATTTATATATAAAATTTAACTGGGGATTGATCTTTGTGAATATTATTGACTTCACTAGGTTTGGTAAGATGTCTTTTTTCCTACGTGCTACCTGTCATAGTTCTGGCCTGTCTCGTCTGTAGGGGAAAGTTTAAAGCAATCTTGAGTGAAGACATAGAAGGGACTAGATGATATTTTAAGGTCCCTTCTAATCTTTAGGACATCAGTGAAATATGCATGGGGCCCAAGTGTGCCTCATGAAAATTCTGGCTCTTAGATCTGCAGTTGTTGGCAATTTGCATTTGAGTTTAGCAGAGTGGAATTGGATTAGACTATTGTTTATTAATGGTTCCTAGGACCCAGTGAACCAGACTGTCTCAGGGCCTTAAACTATCTGTGGTTGTAAAGGGCATAAATACCCTTGGGATGCTGTATGTGAAACCATAGTATGTGCTGTGCTGGTGGCCTAAGAGGTTTCTTATTTTCTGTTCATTTTGAGTTTGTTCTGTTTTCTTTCATTCAGATGACTTTTGGTTACATGTACCTCATGACTTGTAAAGTCAAGCGGTACCTTTTAATTGTGCCCCAAGTAGTCCCCCGTACCAGTTCTCCTTCCTTAGCCTATCTGAGTAGCATATATTGCCTTGAGGTGATTTTAAAATGTTTTGTGGGAATTTTCACATTGTTAGTTCATTTGATCGTCACTAAGACTCAGTTAAGTAGACTGGGGACATCTATTATTGTTCCCATTTGACAACTAAGAAAACTGAGACACAGATGACTTGTCTAAGGTCATGCAGAACTGGGATTAGAACCCTAGTCTTCTGACTCCTGGCCCTGTACTCTTTTCAGTGGACTATCAATCAATCAACATTTATTAACTACATATTATGCCAGGGACTTTGGTAGGCAGTAGGGATGCAAATAAAGAATGAAACCATTTCCACTCTCAAGGGGCTTAACAAGACACTTTACTTGAGGAGAAATAAAGGGTTGTAGTCCATGTGGAAGGGCTTTACCCAAGCTGAGTGTCTTCTCACACCTGCAGGTGGGTAGAGCTAAAATAATAAAATTTAATTATAAAGAGGGTTTCATCTAATTCTGTTAACTTACTTAGATCCAAAGCATTTCTAGAGCTCATATTCCTCTTTACTGAAGCTGGCCAGTAGACAGAAAAATCTAGAAAACTTAAAATGGGAGCACAAGCCCCTTCCCTTCTAGAGGCATCAGATCTCAGTCACTCATGCGTGCTGCTTTGCATTTAAAAGAGCTCCTGGGTCCTTGTAAATGAAGAAAATATTCCAAAGTGGAAAAGTAATAACAAGTGAGACTACATCCAACCGCCGCTCCTCATAGAACTTTCTGCTGTTGTTTCGGTCGTTTTCAGTCATGTCTGATTCTTTGTGCTAAAATGAGTAGTTTTGACTCTTAATCACCGTGATCTTTATGAACTGGGCACAAGTGTGCCTGCTTGTGAGATCTGGATCAATTTTATCCTATCTTCCCCTTCAGGGTTTTTTTGTTTTTTGTTTTTTGTTTTTTCCCTTCAGAGCTCACAGCTTGAATGGCAAAGCAACTAGGCTCCCTGAGTAAAGGTAGTTGTAACTTTGGTGAGGTCAGGAGTAAGTGGGTTGACTGGAATAGAAGCCCCCCACTCTCACCCTCACCTCAGAGAGCTTGTTTCCTTTGGTGACCCCTTCCCTATTCTGCCTCGGGGTGCTGGTGAAGAGTCATTAACCTGCTGTGAGCTCTCACCCATACTGCTCACAAATCTCCCAAGTCAAGGGTTGCTTCAGGGGAGGGCCTGAATAACTAAATGTCAGAAAATCATTAACAGGTTAGTGTTGCCAAAAAAGTTAAAAAAAAAAAAAAGGTTTTTTTCCTTCTATTGACGTAGTCAGTGGTGCATAGGGAAATAGCCCCCAGGTTATAGAAAAGGAAGAAAAGCATACAGAGAGTAAAAATTAAGAGACTGGTTACATAGATGTCTCATCAGTAACAAGGTAACATCATGTTTCTTCTTTCCCTGATTAAATATATAATGTGTCTATAGATACATAAATCTATATACATTTTCAGGCTGAAGCCTATTGTTCAGCTAATCTTGACTTTAGCCATTAAGATTTGGCTAATATGAAAATTTTGGAAAACTAACCCACTTCTGCTGCCTGGTCATCACTAAATTAATATGGACCAGCCTCAGGGGGCAGCTAGGTGGCGCAGTGGATAGAGCACTGGCACTGAAGTCAGGAGTACCTGAGTTCAAATTCGGCCTCAGACCAAACACTTGACGCTTACTAGCTGTGTGACCCTGGGCAAGTCAGTGAACCCCAATTGCCTTAAAAAAAAAATGAACCAGCCTCAAAATAAAATTTAAAAACCAGACTGAAACACCTCATGGTATAAAAAAATTAGCAAGCCCCCTATTTTCCTTTCACAAAACTTGACATTATTTAGGCACTAGATGGGGTTTGGACTTTAGTAGCCATTAGATATTATTGTGTTAATATATATGCGTACCTAGTAGAGAGTGTTTATACACCTCACGCCTTATTTTTCCAAGAAGTCTGACCTCTGGGTTACTGTTAACTAGGTCAGCTAGTCCTTTATATCCCCAAATACTATTATCATAGGGCAAGACTTCAAAGGTAGTACAAATAATAGGGTTGGATTTAGGGGAATTTCTTTTTGAGATTGCTCCATTCAATAACTCTTTTAGTGTGTATATATTTGATGTATACATTACTAAAATGGATTGATTGTGTGAAAAATTCTTACCAGTCTGCTCTCTCTTTCCTTCCTCAAAGAGGTATGGAAATGGTTAGCATTCTGAATCACTATTCTGGGTTTAAATTCTTACTCAACATCAAGGATCTAGTATTCATTGTACTTGCTTGCTTACAGGGATCACTTAGTATCTGTGATCTGTCAGTGCTAATTATTTTTATACCTCTGCCCAGTGGAGGAAAAATCACTGATTAAGACTACTCTTTGCTTTTGGGGGAAGGAGGGGGCAAAGATTGATTAACCAGTCATTTTTCTGGGGCCCTAGCCAGTGACCCTGAGCCCAAGCTTGTTGCCTTCTTAGGTGTGTTTCTGTTCTACAAATGTCCCAGTTCTAGGAATCTCAGTCTATGAATTAACTGACATTTGTAGAATGCATTATAAGTATTCTTATTTGATCCTTTCAGCAGCCTGATAGGTTAGTCCTATTGAACCTATTTTACATATGGGGAAACTCAAACTCTTAAAGAGGCTGAATGACTGGCCCAAGATTACACAACTGGAAATTTCCATAAGTAGCATTTGAATCCAGGTATTTCTTGTTTTGGTGTTTATTAAGAGTGCTTTCCACCATACCAGACTGCCTATATTTAGCAAATGGTAAAAGTCTATACATCTGTGTTTACTCAGGGCAGGATATCTTGTGAGAAAGTACCCCCCCCCCCCCCCCAACTCCAATTCTTACCCCACTCCAACTGAAACTGGAAGTTTCTAAATGTTTTGACCTGGGCACATTACCAAATTTACCTGTGATTGATTTTTGATGAATGAGAGATGTTAGGTCAAATGCTTTCTAATGACATAAGGTATGAATTCAGAGGGTTTTATTGTACTCTTCAGGATTTCTACAAGCCTTTGAAACACAGATACAACTGAATACATCTGTCATTCGACTCCTGGAGGACTCTTAGGTGATCACTCACAGGACTGAGGCCCAGAGAACCATTCTGTGTGAACACTAATGCCTTCATTTAAGGGGAATATTGCTCAAGGCTACCTAAATCTGAAATTTCTAGGTTATTTTTTGGGGGTAGGGGGATTGCACTTAGGACTTTGGGGGGTGTTTATACTGAATTTGACCTTTTCCTTTTGGAGGAGCTTATATATTTAATAAAAACGAGATTAAAACAACATAAATCAACTGCTGTTCTTTCTCAATAGCATTTTAATTTGACAGGCAGCAAAGTGTGTGTGCATGTATATACATATGTATGTATGTACACATATGTATATATTAGTATTTTGCTCAGGGTTCAGGGAAAGCCCTGTATACTCCCATGATCTTTCCCCACCACAAAGTAGTTAAAGCAGATTTTGCAAAATGAGGGACAGCTTGGTGTAACGGGCAGAGAGCTGGCCTGGGACAAAGACTTGGATTTAAGACTGCCCCAACACAGTAAGGCCCTAGGCAAGTCACTTAACCTTTCATCCCCTAGGAAACTCTCCAGCACCATAAGTTACAGAGGAGACCTATACTAATAGTTTTCCTCAATATACTGATAAAATCTAGAGAGTTCTTGTCTCAGTTAAATAAACTTAGAACCACAGAAAGGTTGTGATTTTCCCCAAGTACGACTACTGTCTCTCAGATGAAACATCTAGATCCTGATTTTGTTCTCATCCCATTATAAAAGGTGAAAATACACCCTTGTGTAGTGTGGTCGGGTTGTAAAATATTCTGAAAAAGCTTGGGTACTCTGTTCACTTTGACCCCAAAATTTCGTTTTGTTTTGGTTTTGTTTTTCTTTTCTGGCTTCCTGGAAAGAAGAGGGATTTTATGGAAGGCCGTGGAAATGTCTGAATACTGGGGCTTGGGCTAGCAATGTCCAATCCTACTTTTTCATTTGCAAGAGTAGAGGACTCCTGGAAGACATTCTAAGAGAACAAGCCTTTGCCCATCTTTACTGCTCCTTAGAGCCACTCCAATGCAAAGTTCACCTAATTGACAATTTCTCCTTTTGCCTCCTATTTCTGAGAAAATTCCTGTTACGGTAGTACACAGTGGAATCTTGGTGCAGTACCAGTTGGAAAACGAAGAGACTTGGTAGAAAGCACTAGGAAACCCAAGGTCTGTGTATGAAGTAATTTCAACCTGTTTGGAAACTACCAAACTTTTATTGGAAACTACCAAACTCCTAACTATGGCATAGGAGAAATGGCAAGATAAGTGAAATGTGTCTAGACTTATTCTAACCTCACTTTCTACACTTTCATTAGATATGCATCCTCTTGGTGTTCTTTGGCTACCTGGGTATGTGTGATAATCTAACTTTCCACCATAAAAACATACCTGTTCTGTGTACTATTTCCTCCAGACTCTGTGTCTCTTAGGCTACAAGTGAGGTCATCTGATAAACTGATGTAACTGTGTAATGGGAGGGGGGGCTAAAATCAGAATGACCTCCCTCCTGTGTAATGTGCATTTTAAATGCCACTTAGGGATAAGTCACCCTGTCTTTACTGCCCATCTCAAAGGAGTGAGGAGTGCAGATTGCCACTAAGTCCAGTACAGGTTTTGCTGCTAAATGGATCATCTGGGCAGGTCACCTTATTTACCCATTTACCCCTCAGCTTCAACATGTATAAAATTGGAGGAGATTGGATTAAATGACTTTCTAGGATCCCTTCTACTCTAATATTATTCCTTGGTTCTAGTAGTATACATTTCAATACAGATAGGAAGAGCGGATGGTCCCATCTGTTGGGGCAGAACAATGAGGGACATACCTTTTTTCATTAAGTATTTATTAAGCACCTACTATGTGCCAGGCACTGTGCTAAGTACTAGGGGTACAAAGATGGGCAAAAGACAGTCCCTGGTCTCTAGGAGCTTGCAGTTTAACTGTGTCCTTTTGGGCTGCCTTCCAATAAAAACCTAGGCAGCTCCCTTCATTCCCTGGGTCTGTTCCTGGCCATCAGTGGGAAGTCACAGCCATTCTAAGGAAAAAGGCCCCAATCAGTGAATGTGTTATCTTAACCCAGCCCAAAGCTGATGTAAAAAAAATTTTTTGGACCCTGGGTACCTCAGGGAGAAAGTAGGGACGTGTCTAGAGGCTCTTTTAGGCTTGAGTCTTATGAAAGGACAGTCTGGGTGTGGTCCCTCCCCCTTCTTTACATTACTGGGCTAAACCTTGATAAGATTTAGCTGGAGAACCTACTTGGAACAGCCCACTTTAATGTTATTGTGGCCCCTTAGTATAATTTAAATTCCTTTGCTTCTTCCCTGGTGAAGTTCTCTCTGTGTGAATTGATAAGGATTCTATCCTGGTGATTCTTCGTAAATGTTACCTTCCATATAACCTAACCCTTACTAGGCTTTAAAGGAACCTATCCTAAGTGAGGGAAGGATTTTGGACTTGAGATATGTAGTGTGTTATCTCTGTATTAATGTATATGTCCCTGTATGTGTATTCTATCCCCTTAAACTTCTAGTTAGCACCATTTATTGCCTTTTAATTAGCTGTTGCTTTGGTACTTTTGGAGGTACCTTCATTGTTCCTTCATTGTCTTTGAACAGAACTTATTTGGCTGTTATGCCTTACTTCTAATTGGTTTAAGCAATGTGCTTTTGTGAATACAGCTTTGTTTCTAAGATGGTTTCATAAGCTAGTTTATGGAGGATTTTCGGTTCAGTACCACTTGAAAGCAAAGGGAGTTGAAAAAAGTTCAGGCAAGTCAACCAAAAGCCTGGAATCAGTCTGAACCAGCTGTGAAGACTGCCCTATTTCAGGTAGATAGTGGGCAGCCATCCCTTTGTGCTCACCAGCATGTCTGCATCTTCAGAGTTTCCAGAGTCAAGCTGAAAATGTATCTGGGGTAGCCCTGTTACTAAAAATGCTTTTAAGCAGTAATTTCTTTATCAGCTCTACTTGCTTAGATGTTATTGTGATTGTGAATGGTCATTGGATACCACACTGGTTGGAGGAAACATTTCTTAGGGATGTTTAATTTAGGGCAAATAAAAGAAGGAAGACTAGTTTTCCCTTCCATTCTTTGTTAAGTTTAACATTTGTTAAAGTGTTATCTAATATTTGTAACATTAGTAATATGTAATATGTGTATTTCAAATTACTGCATTTCTTTATGTGCCATAAGCCATCAACTCTATTCCTCCCATTTTCGCTTTACGTGGTGTTTACCATGCTTTTCTGTCCCCTCATTAGTAAGTAGCCTTTTTCGGTTTGTTCCATTTGGGTGATTCTCTTCCAAAGGGCTATGGGAATCTATCATCTCTTCCCTGGAGATTGAACCATTAGATAAAGGTGGCATTACCGGCTAGGTAGATGTGACTAAGGAAGGGCACATGGAAAGTGGAGAATGGAGACTAAAGTGTAAACAGTCATCATACTGCCACGTTGTTTTTGTATGTGAATAAAGCATATTTTGCACTGGCTTATTGTACTGTTGTGCAGAAGAGAAATCTCTTATCTGGAATCTGTGCTTCAGTCAAAATGCAAATAAAATTTGATTTGTAAGAAATCCCTGTGGTGGAAGGTTCAGTATTTTGAAGTTTGACAAGTGGGTGGATCTTTTGGTGTATTTGCACAGTGCTTATCCACGGAGAGAGCACAAAGGCTAACATCACCAGGCAGGCATGACTCTGAGCTGACTGTGTACCTCCTCAGAATGCAGTGTATTCAAAGCCCTTCCTCATCTTGTTCCATTTGAACCTACCCAACTATTCCACTCATTCAGACAAGTATACTCCTGTTCCCTGAAGATGCTTTATGTATTCCTGCCCACATTCACATTGCTTCCACTTCTGAAATGCATCTCCCATATCCCCACATATTTTAGCTTATATGAATTCTATTTATCCTTCAAATTCTACCTCCATGACTACTATATTCCAGTTCATGGTGATTTCTCCTTCCTCTGAATTGAAAAGACCATGGGACTAAGAAGGCAGTGTGAAGAGTCTTGGAGAGGAATAGTAATTTCATCACTAATTAGCTATGTAAGCCATGGGCAAGCCATTTTTTATTTCTGGGTCTCACTTTCCTCATCTATAGAATGGGGCTGGGGCATGTTGATTATAAATTTTTATGATTCTAGGACCAATTGTATCAATGCAGCTTTCTTAGATCCCTCCGCTTCAGTCCAGGGTAATCTATCCTTTTATCTCTCAAGGTATTTATTGCCTAAGATGTTCAACAGTGCCATTCATTTGGTGCTGATTGTTATTGCTTACTACATAATATTTGCTAATGACTGATGGTGACAAGCAACTCTTTGAGAGAGGCATTAATTAACACTTTCAAACTACAGGCCACCTGTTAAAGGAACTTTGTTCTCCAGAGAACATCATAATTTTCTATGGGCTCCAAGGAGTTAAAGCAATTCCTAAAGTGTCCTGTACTTTGCATTGCAAGAGTGAACTTGATATGAAAACGACCAAACTTTCTGGCTGAACTCTGAACCATCCCTCTGCATTTTATATAAAAGATACCAGGTCATCACTTTCGCAGTGATCAGATTCTTGTAAACATGTCTATCTGATGATGCCTCTTCCCCAAAACAGCAATAATAGCTCATATTTATATGGTACTTTAAGGTTTCCAGAGCACTTTACTCTTGATGATCCTATGAGGGGGGGTGTAAAAGTATTGTATGATCCTACCTTTTCCCCCTTAGGACTTTCAGGCTTTTCCATCCATTTTGTTCCTGACATCCTTTATATGTGTTGTCTTCCCCAATTAGAATGTAAGCTCCTTGAGAGCAGGAACTAGCTCACTTTTTCTGCTTATATCACCAGCATTTAGCACAGTGAGTGCATAATAGTGTTTTTTATTCATTCATTTATGGAAATGGAGTCTCTGAAAGGGTCTGAAATGAAAAAAATGAAAAGGGTGAATATGCCACTAACAAAAAGATAAAAATACAGCAGTTATAAGGAATTATTTTGCCCAATTAAATGCCAATAAATTTAACAATTTAAGCAAAATAGAAGAATATTTACAAAAATATAAATTGCTTAGATTAGGCAGAAGAGGAAATAGAATATCTAAATAGACCTCTTTTAGAAAAATAAATTGAACAGGCTTTAAATGAGCTTCCTAAGAAAAAAGCATCAGGACCAGATGGATTTACGAGTGAATTTTATCAAACACTTAAAGATCAATCAATTCCAATATTAAATAAATCATTTAGAACAATATGCAAAGAAGGGATCCTACCAAACTCTTTTTATGAAACAAATATGGTACTGATATCTAAAGCCGGAGGCGTAATTATAGAAAATTATAGATCAATTTCATTAATGAATGTGGATGCAAAAATTCCAAATAAAATACTAACTAAAAGATTGCAACAATATATTACAGGTTACACATTATACCAAGAATGCAGGGTGGTTTAACATAAGAAAAACTATTAACATAATTGATTATATCAATAATAAAAGTTAAAAAAAGTCGTGAGTATATCAATAGACGCAGAAAAAACTTTTGATAAAGTACAACACTCATTCCTATTAAAAAACACTTAAAAGTATAGGTATAAATGGGTTTTTCCTCGAATTGATCAAAAGCATTTGTCTGAAACAATCAGCAAGCATTATTTGTAATGGGGATAAACTAGAAGCCTTTTCAGTAAAATGAAATGTGAAAACAGGATGCCCACTGTCACCAATATTATTCAGTATTGTATTGGAAATCCTAGCAATAGAAATAAGAGAAGAAAAAGAAATAGAAGTAATCAGAATAAGGAATGTGGTAGTAAAATTATTTCTTTTTGCAGATGATGTGATGATATACTTGGAAAATCCCAAAGACTCAACTAAAAAATTAGTTGAAACAATAATTTTAGCAAAGTAACAATATAAAGTAAATCCACATAAATAATCAGCATTCCTATATGTCATGAACAAAACCCCGCAAGAAGAGATAGTAAGAGATACCACATTTAAAATAACTCTAGATAGCATAAAATACCTGGGAGTATACCTGCCAAAACAAACCCAGGAATTATATGAACAAAATTATAAAATAACTTTTTAAATAAATAAAACTGTATGTCATTAATTAGAGAAATATTAATTATTCATGGTAGATAGGGCTGATATAATAAATATGACAATTTTCCCTAAACTAATTTATACATTCAATGCCATTCCAATTAAATTAGCAGAAAATTATTTTACTGAATTAGAAAAAAATAACAAAATTCATTTGGATGAAGAAAAAGTCAAGAATATTGGAGGTACTTTCAGGGATCTCTCAGCCTACATTAAAATGATTTGCCTTGGGCCACACCTCTAGAAAGTGATGAAGCTGGCCGTCAAACCCAGGTCTTCTGCCAGTGCTCTTTCCACTATCCTATAATTTAACTCAAATAAGTACCTACTATGTGCCAGTCACTACCAGGTTCTGGAAAAACTAAGAGGATGCCTCTAGAAGTAGTAATCTCTTTAAGTGATATTTATGTGTTAATGAAATTGCAAAATTCCACTTTAAACAATGTGGATTTGGTTGAATGTTTGTTAGAACTTTTTTTTTAAAAGAAAAATGGACTTTGTGAAAAAAAGAAATCTAATATAAATATCATATAGAATATATATAGAAGCTTTTAATAAGGAGAAATCTAATATAAATGTCATATAGAATATATATAGAAGCTTTTAATAAGGACCAACCAATTAAACAAGAGAGATGAGCTAGGTTTCAGGGACAACACACTTCTTATTCCCCCAGTCTAATTTGATCTACTCTTGATGAAAAAGTACTATATAAACTTTAAATATAAAATGTAAACTTTAATATATAAAATTTAAACTTTAAATAATAAAAGTATATAAATATTAGTGGTTATAATCCTTACAGATCCTAGGGGACAAGGGGAGTTTTCATTTTAAAGAAGGGAAAATTGAGGTTCTTAGGAATGAAGTAACTTCAGGATGATGAACTAATGGTAGAAATAAACATTAGCACTTTCCATTCATGGCTCATTCAAATAAGAGGGAAATTTTGTCCTCTTATCAGAGGCTCCCTTTGGAAGAGATAGGGACTGGACTTGTGATTTCATTGGTATAGGGAATTCCGAAGTAAGGAAACTCAGTGCTAACTGGCAGCTTCTCTGCAATGTATAGTCTTTTTTGTTGTTGTTCAATGTTTTTTTTAAGTTGTATCTGGCTCTTTATGACTCCATTTGGGGTTTTCTTGGGAAAGATGTTGGAGTGGTTTGCCATTTCCTTCTCCAGCTCATTTTACAGATGAGGAAACTGAGGCAAACAAGGTTGAGTGACTTGCTCAGGGTCACACAGCTAGTATCTGAGGCCAGATTTGAACTCAGAGGAATGAATGTTCCTGACTCCAGGGCTGTCACTCTAACCACTGCTCCACATAGATGCCCAATTTATAGTCTTAGAGAGTTGCTTAGAAAGCATAGAGAGATTAAGTAATTTGCCCTTGGTCCCAGAAACAGTATGTGCTAGTGGGGGGATTTGAACCCAGATCACCCTGATGTCAAAGATTGCTCCCAATCCACTCACCATGCTTTCTCTTTCCCTTTGGAAGGGACATAGATTTTGATCATGGCTGTAGTGGATTCTCTTTGATCATGGTGGATTCTGTGGACTCTGTTTGATTATTGATGGAGATATTAGTAAATTCACATTTATTAAGCTCCTACTGTGTTCCAGGTACTGTGTTGAGCACGAGGGATATAAAGAAGGGCAAAGAATGTTCCCTTCTCTCAAGGAACTCACAGTCTAATAACATAGACTACATATAGACAACTGTACAAATAAGCACTTAGTACAGTGCTTGGCACATAGTAAGGGCTTAATAAATGTTTATTGATAGGATATGGATAGGATAAGCTGGATAAGTCCGTATCAGAAGAAAGATACTAAGATTAAAGACTGAGAAAGGAATTTTTTTGAAGGTAGGACTGTAGGAAAGGGGGGTGATGAGATAAGTTGATATAAATGTGTGCTTACATTTTTTTTTTTTTGTTTATGTAAGCATATAATCTTCAGTATCTACCCCAAGCTTGGGTCATCATCCTAAAGAGCATAGGATCATTAGATCATAGGGTCATTAGAGCTAGAAGAAAACTTGAAGACCACTCATAGTGTGGTCTGGAGATCTCTAAGAATCCTTGGGACCCTTTCAGGGAGATAAGAGGTCAAAGCCATTTTTATAAAAATCTAAGATCTTTTAATTTCTAATATGGTAAATATGAAGAGATATAACTCACATAAAAAAAATACTCTTTGGGGGATCTCCAATCATTTTTAAGACTGTAAATGGGCTCTGACACCAAAAAGTTAGAGAATTGTTGATCTAGCCTATCCCCTGTATATTACAGATGAGGAAAAGAAAGATGAAGAGATTGACTAAGTTTAGTCTATTGGAGACTAGCTCTTCTCCATATCCGATATTCTCTCCTTTAAATCATATGTGGAAGCGATTGAATATTTCTCTACCTTGGAATTTTTTTTAAAAAAGTATCTAAAATCTAGTTAGCCCCAGGGTATATCTTGTTAGCTAATAACTAATAATAGCTAGCATTTATTTTTCCCACGTGGCTGCACTCATTTTGGATTCCTTTGACTTCCCCCTCATTCTTCCAAGCTGGGTACCTCCCCACCCCCACCCCTTTAAATTTTCTTTTTCTGTTGTCTTCCCCATTCGATTATAAGATCCTTGAAGGCAGGGACTATCTTTCTTTTTTGTATCTGTATTCTTAGTGCTTAGTATAATGCCTGGCACATAGTAGGTGCTTAATAAATGCTTGTTTATTATTTATATAGTGCTTTAAAGTTTTCAAAGCACTTTACAAATATTATCTCATTTGATACTCCCAACAACCATGGAAGAGAGGTGCTTTTATTTACCCCTACTTCACAGATGAGGAAATGGAGACAGGCAGCAGTTAAGTGACTTGCCCAGGGTCACACAGCTAGGAAGTGTCTGAGGGCAGATTTGAACTCAAGTCTTCCTGACTCCAGGCTCAGCACTCTAGGCCACCTGGATGCCTCTCTAGTTCCTACTGGAGAGTAGGAATCCTGTCATTACCCCCACCCCCAAGCATATCTTCTGAATTTTCTGTCTTGGCCAGAGCCACCATTCTTGTCATCATCCACACTTGGAACCACCCTCAGATTCAGTTTGACTCCCCCCTCACCCTTGTCATCTATAGCCCATCAATGGCCACAATGGCCAAGTCCTGTCTCTTCCATTCATTCCTACTTATCCAGAGACTCATGCCTGGATTGCTGCTTTAGTCCCTTACTTCTAATCTCTTCCCTCTCCTAAAATCAATAGATTTAGAGACAGAGTAGCAGGGTTCAAATCCACCTATGTGACCGTGGGCAAGTCATGTGACTTCTCTGGGCTTTAATTCCCTCATGTGTAAAATAAAGATATTGGACCCAATAGCTTCAAAGGTCCCTTCTGGCTCTAAATCCTTGACCCTATGGTTCCACGGACCACTGCCAGGCTAGTTGTCGGGAAGCTTGTGGTTATACCTCACAGTGATTCCTTGCATTATTATATACAATTACATCATTCGGTATTTAAGTCTTGTCTCCCTGACAAAAATATACATTCTTTGAGATCTGGGATCATGTTTTGTGCTTTCTTTGTATTTCCCATAACATCTAGTGCAGTCTTGGGCTTAAAGTATTGTGGTATACAGAAGGTAGTACAGAGAATTGGAAAAACTGCTGCCTGGTTGGTGAATCTGACGCTCACTCCCTAGATGACATTTGGATCTTTTAACCTTTGAATATAATAATAAAGGTCATAAATTTAACTTTTCAATATCTTGGTTTTCCCATCTGTAAGGTGAGAGGGTTGGACCAGATTATATCTAAGCTCCGT